CCCCCCGCCCCCCCACCGCAGCCAACCAGCCGGGCCGGGAGGCACCACGTGACCCGGAGCCCAGACAAAGGGCCGCCGGGCTGACCCGTACCGGCCCGGCCGGCTCCGCGCGTTCCGGCTCCGCGCGTTCCGCCCCGGCCCGGGCCCGGCCGCTCGCCGCGGGTACGGTACCGGCACCGGCACCACCGCGGGCCGGAGCGCCCGGGCCGAGCGGGGAGATCCCGCCGGGGACGGGGAGGCTCGGGGGGGGGGACCTGGAGAGGGTGACATGGACCGGGATGAGCTGCGAGGGGGCCGGGATATGCACAGAGGGTACCGGGATGGGCCCGGGAGGTACCGGGATAAACACGGACGGTACCGGGATGGGCTCGGGGGGTCCCGGAATGAGTGCGAGGGTGCCGGGATGGGCTCGGGAGGCACCGGGATAAGCACAGAGGTACCGGGATGGGCTCGGGAGGTACCGGGATAAGCACAGAGGTACCGGGATAAGCACAGAGGGTACCGGGATGGGCTCGGGAGGTACCGGGATAAGCATAGAGAGTACCGGGATGGGCTCAGGGCTCGTGGGATGGGCTCGGGGGTACCGGGGTAAGCACAGAGGGTACCGGGATGGGCTCGGCGGGTACCGGGATAATCACGGACGGTACCGGGATGGGCTCGGGAGGTACCGGGATGAGTGCGCGGGGGTACCAGGATAAACACAGAGGGTCCCGGGATGGGCTGGGGGGTCCTGGGATAAGCACAGCCGGTACCGGGATAAGCACAGAGGGTCCCGGGATGGGCTCGGGGGGTCCCGGGATGAGTGCCGAGGTCCTGGCGTGGGCCCCGGGGTAAATCCCGGGGTAAGTCCCGGGGGTCCGCGGGGGAAGCCGAGTCTCGGGAGCCGCCCCGTGCCCGCAGGCCGAGAAGAAGGCCAAGGTGATCGCCGTGATGAACGTGGTGGAGGAGCCGGCGCGGGCCGAGGCGCAGAAGGAGGAGGAGGCCAGCCCGCCGCCCGGGCCGCAGCAGCCCACCGACCCCGCCTCGCCCAGCGTGGCCACCACGCCCGAGCCCGCCGTGGCCGAGGCGGGCGACAAGAACGCCTCCAAGTCGGCCGACGACGAGCCCGAGTACGAGGTGAGGGCCGCGGCGCGGCCGCGCTCAGCCCCGCCGTGCCCTGCCCGCAGGACGGCCGCGGCTTCGGCATCGGCGAGCTGGTGTGGGGCAAGCTGCGCGGCTTCTCCTGGTGGCCCGGCCGCATCGTGTCCTGGTGGATGACCGGCCGCAGCCGCGCCGCCGAGGGCACCCGCTGGGTGATGTGGTTCGGCGACGGAAAGTTCTCGGTGGTGAGTGGCGGGCGGGCGGCGGGGCGCGGCGGGCGGCCGGGCTGTGTGCCCACGGAGGGGCTGTGTGCCCACGGCCGCCTCCTGTCCTGGGCCCAGGGGTGCGTGGAGAAGCTGCTGCCCCTGAGCTCGTTCGCCAGCGCCTTCCACCAGGCCACCTACAACAAGCAGCCCATGTACCGCAAGGCCATCTACGAGGTGCTGCAGGTGAGGGGACGCTGCTGAGCCCCGGGTGGGGACACTGCCGAGGCAGGGGGGGACACTGCCCAGGCAGGGGGGGACACTGCTGAGCCCCCCGTGGGGACACTGCTGAGCCATGGAGTGACACTGCCGAGCCGCGGGGACACTGCCCAGGCAGGGGGGGACACTGCTGAGCCCCGGGTGGGGACACTGCTGAGCCGGGACACTGCCGAGGCAGGGGGGGGACACTGCCCAGGCGGGGAGGGGGACACTGATGAGCCCCTGGAGTGACACTGCTGAGCCACAGGGTCACTGCCGAGGCAGGGGGACACTGCTGAGCCCCCCGTGGGGACACTGCCGAGGCAGGGGGGGACACTGCCCAGGCAGGGCTAAGCCCCTGGAGGGACAGGGTGGGGACACTACTGAGCCATGGAGTGACACTGCCGAGGCAGGGGGGGACACTGCTAAGCCCCTGGAGGGACACTGCTGAGCCACAGGGTCACTGCCGAGGCAGGGGGACACTGCTGAGCCCCCCGTGGGGACACTGCCGAGGCGGGGGAGGACACTGCTGAGCCCCTGGAGGGACACTGCTGAGCCATGGAGGGACACTGCCGAGGCGGGGGGGGGACACTGCCGAGCCGCGGGGACACTGCTGAGCCCCCCGTGGGGACACTGCCGAGGCGGGGGAGGACACTGCTGAGCCCCTGGAGGGACACTGCTGAGCCACAGGGTCACTGCCGAGCCATGGGACACTGCTGAGCCCCCCGTGGGGACACTGCCGAGACGTGGGCAGGGGACACTGCTGAGCCCCCCGTGGGGACACCACCAAGGCAGCAGGGGCACTGCTGAGCCCCGGGGGAAGGACACTGCCAAGACAGCAGGGACTTTCCTGAGCCGGGGGTGGGGACATCCCAGGGCGCTGGCTCCGTCTGTGGAAGCAGCAGCTGCCTCTCCACCCTGCCCCACCTGGAGGTCTCTGAAAAGGCGTGGGGGTGTGGGAGACCCCCTAAGGGGGGGTCTTGTGCTCTTTAAGGACCCCCCAAGGACGTTTGTGTTCTCTGAGGACCCCCCAAGGACATTTGTGCTCTTTAAGGAGGCGTTGGGGTGTCTGGGGATCAGCTGTCCCAGACTGGGGGGGGATCCTGGCTTTGAGGGTCTCCTGGACATTGGGGTGTCTGGAGATCAGCTGTCCCAGACTGGGGGGGGATCCTGGCTTTGGGGGTCTCCTGTCCCCCCGAGGCCGGGCCCTGCCTGGCTGGGCAGTGTGAGGACAGCCAGGGGGCCGAGGATGGGGAGGTGACCCCTGCACCCCCACAGGTGGCCAGCAGCCGGGCCGGCAAGATCTTCCCTGCGTGCCCCGAGAACGACGAGACAGACACGTCCAAGGTGGTGGAGATCCAGAACAAGCAGATGATCGAGTGGGCCCTGGGCGGCTTCCAGCCCTCGGGCCCCAAGGGGCTGGAGCCCCCCGAAGGTGAGCGGGCTCATGGACAGGGGACTCCCACCCAGGGCCATCAGCTCGGGTGTCACCAGGGTGCCACGGGCCTGGGCAGGGAGGTCCCGGGGGGGCTGTGACCCTGCTGGGGGGACATTAACGATGTGACCCGAAGCGGGGACACCACTGATGGCACCACTGGTGACCCCCGGTCCCACAGAGGAGAGGAACCCCTACAAAGAAGTTTACACGGAGATGTGGGTGGAGCCCGAAGCAGCCGCCTACGCGCCGCCCCCGCCCGCCAAAAAACCCCGGAAAAGCACAACCCAGGAGAAGCCCAAGGTCAAGGAGATCATCGACGAGCGCACCCGAGGTACCGGGGCCGCCCCGAGCCCAGCGCTGCTCCCCTGGGGCTGCTCTGGCCCCGCTCCCTGCGGCGTGGGGCACAAGAGCTGCTCCAGGCCGGGCCCCCTCTCCCCCGGGGTCCTCCCTCCCGGGGGTCCCTCCCTTCACCCCCTCCCGGATGCCCTGGCTGGGGCAGCCCCCTGACCCCCTGTTCCCCCAGAGCGGCTGGTGTACGAGGTGCGGCAGAAGTGCAGGAACATCGAGGGTGAGTGCGGGGCTGGGCACGGCTGGGGGGGGGTCTGTCCTGGGCACCTCAGGGCTGTGGGGCAGCTCAGGGGAACAAGGCCAGCCTTGTCCCACCCCTCAGCAGCCGTGACGGGGCAGTGGCCCACCCTGGATGGTGGCAGGGACCCCCAGGGCACTGCCGTGGGTGTTGGGGTTTGGGGTGGGGCTGGAGTCCTGCCTGCTGCTCCCAGGCTGGTCCCCAGCTCTGCTGTGACCCCAGCATGGGCTGAGTGTGTCTTGGGGACTGCAGGACAGGGCTTGGGGTGTCCCCACGCTGGGGTGGGGTGCCAGGGAGATGGGTCAGGGTGTCCCCATGCTGGGGTTGGGATGTCCCTATGCCAGGATGGGGTGCCAGGGTGATGGGTCAGGGTGTCCCCACACTGATGTGGGGTGCCAGGGAGATGGGCACACTGGTGTGGGGTGCCAGGGAGATGGGTCAGGGTATCCCCATGCTGGCATGGGGTGACAGGGTGATGGCTTGGGGTGTCCCCACACTGATGTGGGGTGCCAGGACCATGTCTCCCCTTCTCCCCCAGACATCTGCATCTCCTGTGGGAGCCTCAACGTGACCCTGGAGCACCCTCTGTTCATCGGGGGGATGTGCCAAAACTGCAAGGTACGGTGTGGGGCACGGCCTGGGGGGCTCACAGGGTGTGCCCTACCCTGAGGTGGGGTCCCCAGTGTCCCCAGGCCCGCAGTGACACCCTGGCTGTCCCCAGAACTGCTTCCTGGAGTGTGCATACCAGTACGACGACGATGGCTACCAGTCCTACTGCACCATCTGCTGTGGTGGCCGTGAGGTCCTCATGTGTGGCAACAACAACTGCTGCAGGTGCCAGGGGGCTGGGGGCCAGGGGCTGGAGGGGGCTGGGGGTGCCACGGGGCTGGGGGCCAGGGGCTGGGCTGGAACCAGGGCTGGGCTGCAACTGGGCCTCTCTCCTGTCTGGAGTGAGGCTGGGCAAGTTTGGTGTTGCCACATTGCTGCCACGTGCTTTTGGTGATGCCAGTCCTGGTGTGGGACTGGGCAGTTTTGGTGATGTCCCAGTCTCGGTAAGGTTTGGTGATGCTGCAGTCTTGGCATAGGAGTTCAGCCAGTCCTGGTTTGGGGCTGGGATGTTTTGGCAGTGCTGTGGTCTGTGGCACAGGAGCAGGCAGGTGTGGTGGTGCCAGGGAGGTTCTGGTGGTGGCACTGTCCCCGTGTCACGCTTTGACGTCCCAGTCTGGGTAGGGTGTGGTGATGCCACAATCCCACCATGCTCAGTGATGCCAGTCCTGTGGGAGGTTCTGGTGATGCCAAGTCCTGGTGTGGGAATTCCATGGTGTCATTAAGGAAATGTCCCAGTGTGAGCACTCCTGAGCCTCCTGGGCTGTCACACTGCCAGTGCCACAGCCTGTCACTGCTGTGGCCAGAGCCTGGTGGCTGCAGTGGCCCCATGGCCCAGCTGGGCTCCCCAGGGCCCCGCCCAGTCAGACCCTGTTCCCCCACTGGCTCCAGCCCAGCTGGCCAGTGGCAGTCTCAGATGTCTTGTTCAGTAAATCCATTTATTCATGGCACAGGAATACAAACACAGCCTGAGCTGGTGCCTCTGAGCAGGGATCCCCACTAAAGAACCCCCTGGATCTGTCCTCCCAGTGTCCCCCTCTGCAAGTCTCACTGTTCCTGCAGAGTCCTCAGCTCCTGTGCATCCACCTGGCTGGCAGGAGCTCTCTTTATCTCCTTTGTTATGTTATCTGAACTCCTGCTGGCTCTCTGTCCATTCACCTGGGTCACCCTTCCTTGTCCTCTTTGTTATTCCAAAGCTCAGCAGTTCAAGCTGGGGCTCCACCCAGGGCTCAACCTCTGCAGCTCAATCTGCATTTCAAATCCACTGCCTGGACCAGATTTATTCACCTCAGCACGGTCTGGGATGTCTTGTGATGCCTCAGTCCTCATGTGGAGCTAGGGAGGGTTTGGTAGTGCCACAGACCTGGCATGGAAATGGGGTGCTGCCAGTCCTGCTGTGGGGCTTGGCAATGTTTTGGTGATGCCACAGTCCCAGTGGGAGGTTCTGGTGATGTTTCATTGATTCTGAATTCAGTGGTGCCAGTCCTGCTGTGGGGCTGGGAGGATTTGTGATGTCCCAGTGCAAGACTTTTCTGGTGCCACATTCCTGCCATTCCTGGGCTGTTGATGCCAGTCCTGCTTTGGGGCTGGGATGTTTTAATGATGCCACAGTGCCTGACTGTAGGGTTGGGAGGTTTGGTAAAGTTCTGGTCCAGGTGTGGCACTGTGGGAGTTTTGGCAATGCCTGCCAAACGGAGCTGGGAAGTCCAGGTGATGGCACAGTCCTGCCATGGGGTTTTGGGTGGATTCTTCTTTGGGGAGGTTCTGGTGCTGCCTCAGTCCCTCTGCAGGGCTGGGCCAAGCTTTGGCAATGCCCAGTCCCGGCACAGAGCTGGCAAACACCGGTGGTCTCAGAGCAGGGTGGGCGTGGGCAGGACCCCAGCGGGCATGGCCCGGTCGCGCCGCCGGCGTTCCGGCGGTGCCAGCGCCCCGGCGCGAGCCCCGCTGCTGACCCTGGCTGCCCCCCGTGCCAGGTGCTTCTGCGTGGAGTGCGTGGACCTGCTGGTGGGCCCGGGGGCGGCGCAGGCGGCCATCAAGGAGGACCCCTGGAACTGCTACATGTGCGGCCACAAGGGCGTCTACGGGCTGCTGCGGCGGCGGGAGGACTGGCCCTCGCGCCTGCAGATGTTCTTCGCCAACAACCACGACCAGGAGTTTGTGAGTGCCCCTCCCTGCTGGCCCCCAGGCACCCCTCCCTGTTGACCCCCACTGACCCCCAAGCCCTCCCTGCTGACCCCCCAGCCCTTCCCCTCCCTGCTGACCCCCCAGCCCCTCCCTGCTGACCCTGTCCCCGTGGCTCCAGGACCCCCCGAAGGTGTACCCGCCGGTGCCCGCTGAGAAGAGGAAGCCCATCCGGGTGCTCTCGCTCTTCGATGGCATCGCCACAGGTGGGTGGGGGTCCCTGGCCCCATGGCCCTTGCAGGGCCCTCCCAGGGTGTGTGTGGGGTTGGATTGCTGGGGTGGGAGGAGCTGGTGGTCTCAGGCCACAGGTGTGGGCAGCCCCCACTGTCTGCTCCACACCAGAGGGGAGCAGGAAGGGGCCAGCCCTGGGGGGTGGGACAGGTGGGGCTGGGGGCCCGTTGTGCGTGCATGGCCCACTCCCCACGGCTCCCCACAGGCTTGCTGGTGCTGAAGGACCTGGGCATCCAGGTGGACAGGTACATCGCCTCCGAGGTGTGCGAGGACTCCATCACCGTGGGCATGGTGAGGCACCAGGGCAAGATCATGTACGTCGGGGACGTCCGCAACGTCACCCAGAAACACGTACGTGCCATCCTGCCCCTGGCCTCCTGACCCCCTCCCTGCCAGCACCGGGACCCCCCCAGAGCTCCAGGGGCAGCCCCCTGGCCCGGGGTGGGAGTGCCAGGGTGTCCTGAGCTCCGTGCTCCTGGTGGCTCCCTTCCTGCTCCGGGAGCTCGGCCACCATCGTGTCCCTGTCCCCAGGGCTGTGGCAGAGCCTGGCTCACCCGGGCTCCCCTTTCCCTCTTGCAGATACAGGAGTGGGGCCCCTTTGATCTGGTCATTGGGGGCAGCCCCTGCAACGACCTGTCCATCGTCAACCCGGCCAGGAAGGGTCTCTACGGTAGGAGAGGGCTGGGGCTCCACAGGGGTGGGGTTGGCCCCCCCAGGGCTGACAGAGACCCCCAGCCCTTAGCCCAGCCCCTCCTCTCTCCTCCCAGAGGGCACTGGGCGCCTCTTCTTTGAGTTCTACCGCCTGCTGCACGAAGCCCGGCCCAAGGAGGGCGACGACCGGCCCTTCTTCTGGCTCTTTGAGAACGTGGTGGCCATGGGGGTGAGCGACAAGAGGGACATCTCGCGCTTCCTGGAGGTCAGTGCCCGCCTGGGCTCACCCCCTCCAGCCCGGGGACCCCCAGGTCCCGCCCCCAGAGCAAGGGGCTGCCCAGCCCCACTGACCCTAACCCCACTGACCCTTGGCACTGTCCTCCCTCAGTCCAATCCCGTCATGATTGATGCCAAAGAAGTGTCTGCAGCACACCGGGCACGGTACTTCTGGGGAAACCTGCCCGGCATGAACAGGTGAGAGCAGCCCAAAGCTGAGCCCCTGGCTGCCTCGGGGAGGGTGGGCTGCACTCCTTGGTCCTCCCTCAGCCCGGGTGTCCCCTGACCCTGGTCAGGGCTGGGCAAGAGCAGGAGTCTGACAAAGAGGTGATGGCACACCCTAGAAACCTCTGGTGGCTTCCCTGTGGGGGTGGCTGGTCCTGTCCCAGCTCTCTTGTGCTGGAAGGGTGGCACTAAGCTGTCCTCTGTGTCCCTCTTGGATGTTGGCTGTGGTGGCCCCACAGTTAGTGGTCACAGATGGGCTCCCACAGGAATTGCTTCTTGCCCATTACCTGCCACAGAGCCCCAAAACAGCCGCGGCCACCTTGTGACCCCCACAAACCCCAGCTGGAGTCCTGCCCTGTGCCCACGGTGTGGGGGGGGACAGTATGGGGACACAGTGCTGCTGCCACCCCCTGCCCACCATCTCTCCTCCCCAGGCCGCTCGCGTCCACCGTCAACGATAAGCTGGAGCTGCAGGAGTGCCTGGAGCACGGCAGGATAGCAAAGGTCAGCCTGGGCTGGGCTTGAGGGGGGCCTGAAGGGGGCAGGAGGGGGGTTCCAGTGCTGTCACAGTGTCTCCCAGGGGGGAGTCACCCACCCGGTGCCCTGGGGGCTCCATGCCACCCCAGCCTGACCAGCCCGTGCCTCTTGCAGTTCAGCAAAGTGCGAACCATCACCACCCGCTCCAACTCCATCAAGCAGGGCAAGGACCAGCACTTCCCCGTGTTCATGAACGAGAAGGAGGACATCTTGTGGTGCACGGAGATGGAGAGGTACCTCGGGGAAGCCAAAGACCCTGCGGGACACAGGGAGGGGTCAGGGTCGGGCTGGGGAGTGGGGGGAGCCCGACCCTGACCCTTCCCCGTGTCCCGCAGGGTCTTTGGCTTCCCCGTGCACTACACGGACGTGTCCAACATGAGCCGCCTGGCCCGGCAGAGACTGCTCGGCAGGTCCTGGAGCGTGCCGGTGATTCGCCACCTCTTCGCGCCCCTGAAGGAATACTTTGCCTGCGTTTAGAGATGGGCAGGAACTGGTCACACGGAGCGAGTCGGAAACAAACCCATCCACGCCAAGAGAAGAGAACACACACGGAATGAGAGAAGAGTCAGCACCCAGAAGAGAGACGGGATTTCGCAGCCCGACGGGAACCCAGCACGCGTCTCCCCGAGCGAAAGGGGTCGGTGTCCTCTCCGGAATTTCCCAGGATCAGCTTTAGCTATTTAAAAACAAACAAAAACCACAAGAAGCAAACGAAAACGAAGATGGCGAAAGCAAACGAACGACGACGAAACGCGGTACCCGTGCCCGGAGCGCGGCCGGGGCGCTTCCGGCATGGCACGGGGATGGCCGCGGGTCCCGGACCCTGGTGCTACATCCGCGGCAGGAGGGCGATGGGGACCCCGGCGGCGTCACCGCGGCCGCCGGGCCATCGCTCCCCTGCCCACGCGTGGTTCGGAGCGAGCGCGTCCCCTCGGTGTCCCGCGTGCGGTGGCGCGGGGCACCGCGGCGGCGGTCGGTCGGTCGGTCGGTGTGGCGGGCCCGGCGCGGGCAGGTGCTGGCGGTGCGGTGGATGGTGCTACTGCTCCGGGGCCCCGGTGCGGCCCCGGTGCCCGGCGGGGCAGGGACTGGTGCTAGGGCGCGGGGAGGCTCCCGGGGGCCCGGGCCCGTCGCTGTCTCTTCTCTAACTGTGAAAGGCGCGGGCTCCGGGGCCGCGCTCGCAAAAAGGAAAAAAAAAAAAAAAAAAAAAAAAAAAAAAAAAAACCCAAAACCTTTTTTTTTTTTTTTTTTTTTGGGTAACCTTTTAATTTTCCGCTCTTTTCTGGCTGGGTTTTCCCGTCGGTTTGGTTTCCACTTCTCGGAGCAGCGGGCGAGACGAGCGCCGCTCTCGGAGAGGGGGAAACGGCAGCGGGGAAAGCCCGGTGGGGAGGGAGGCGGAGGCAAAGGAGACCCGAGACCCGCTCCGAGACCGCTCCGAGACCGCTCCGCTCCGCCCGCGCCAGCGCCCGGCCCCGGCCCCGGCGGCTGAGCCTCGCTCTGTTCCACCAGCACCGCTCTCCGGTGACATGGAGCCAACCCGGCGGGGAGGCCGGGGACACACACACCACACACACACACCTTTTCTACAGTATTTTGGGTGCCTACCACACGGAAACCTTGAAGAGAGCAGATCCTAGAAGCCGCTGTTACCTCTTGTTTACAGTTTATATATATATGATAGATATGAGATATAGATATATATATATATAAAAGGTACTGTTACTACTGTACAACCTGACTTCATAATGGTGCTTTACACAGCGGGGTGAGTCGAGACATCAGCTTCCACGTTGCCTTACGTGCCGGGCCTTTCCGAGCGAGCGGCAGGGCCGGGGCGGCCGGGCGGAAGCGTCTCCATCCCGAGTCATGCAATAACCTTTTTCTGTCCCGAACGGAAGCGCCTCGGCGGTGCCCCCCTGCCCCGCCGGCGCCACCCCACAGCGTACTGGTGCTCTTCTGCGTACGTGGCGTCCGGCAGGGCGTCCCCCGGTGCCCCGGCGGCGGTGGGGGGGGGGTCCTGCCCTCGGTCGGTGTGGCGGGCCCGGCGCGGGCAGGTGCTGGCGGTGCGGTGGATGGTGCTACTGCTCCGGGGCCCCGGTGCGGCCCCGGTGCCCGGCGGGGCAGGGACTGGTGCTAGGGCGCGGGGAGGCTCCCGGGGGCCCGGGCCCGTCGCTGTCTCTTCTCTAACTGTGAAAGGCGCGGGCTCCGGGGCCGCGCTCGCTGCGGGGTGCTGGCTAATGGCAGCGAGCCGCGCGCTCCGAGGTGCCGGGACCGACGGCGGCGAGGGGCGAGGGCCCCCGCCTCCCCTCCCTCCTGGTGCTACTGGGGGCTTGGGGGCCCCTCTGGGTGCGGGGGGCACGGGGAGCTGAGCTGGCCGCGGTGGGGGCACCGCGGGGCCTGGCTTTGCCGGGGAGTGAAGGTGGCGAGGCAGGGGGGCGCTGGTCCCGGGCTCTGGGCTCCTGCTCGCTCCCGGGGCCAGATGGATGGCACAGGATGGCACAGGACCTCTGCACCGGGCACAGGTCCTGCCTGCCTGCTGCTGTCTGAGCCCCCATGGCCCCACGAGCCTGTGTGTGGGGCTGGCATGGCCCCGGGCGTGCTGTGTGTGGGGCACGGTGGGCACTGCGGGTCCTGCACGGCCCTGCAGCACTGCTGCAGGTCCTGCATGGCTCCGTGGCACTGGGTGCTGATCCTGCATGGATCCACGGCGCTGCCCGTGGGTCCTGCAGAGTCCCACAGACCTGGGTGCAAGCGCTGCGTGGCCCTGCAGTGCTCATTGCAGGCCCTGCGTGGCCTCACCGTGGCAAATGCAGGTCCTGCATGGCTCCGTGGCGCTGGGTGCTGATCCTGCATGGCCTCGAGGTGCTGGGTGCTGGTCCTGCACGGCTCCGTGGCACTGGGTGCTGACCCTGCACGGCCCTGCAGCTCCGGGTGCTGACCCTGCGGCTCCGGGTGCCGGTGCTGCCCCAATCCTGCGGCGCCGTCGGGTTCTGCGCGGCCGGGTTCGGGGGTCCCGGCGGACCCCCCGGCTCGGCCCAGCCCTGCAGCGCTTGCTGGGACCCCCTTGGGCCCCGCTGCACCTTCGGGGGCCGGGTCCCAGCGGGTGCTGCGGCGCGGCGTTGGCGCGGCCCTGCCGGCGCCGGTGCCGGTGCCGGTGCCGGTGCCGGTGGAAGCAGGTTCCTGCTGGGAACAGGTGCCGGCGGCGGTGGGGACCGTGGGGATGCCTGGGGCAAGAGTTCAGTTTTTAACGTACCCGACTCAAACGTCTTTTTTTAAAAAAAAAAACAACCAGAAAAATTCTGTTGCACAGCCCTAGATGAAAACTCAAAAACAACACAGCAAGGCCTGAATTCCTTAAGATCCGCCGAGGGAGTGGGGACAAACACGGTGCTAAAACATTTTATTAAAAATATATATTGTTAAATTAAGTCTGCTGTCTGGACAATGACTGTTTTGTTTCTCGTAGTGGAGTTTCAAAGAGCACTATTATTTTACTCTTATATATTATTATTAAAAAAAAAAAACAAAAAAGAAAAAGGCATTTTAACTTTGTACTTGAAAACTAAATGAGAGATTTCATGTGTTTTAGCCTAGACATTGAAATAGCTGACGCTTAACTATTTGTGGGAATCATGTACTCATCATCCCGAGGAATACGCTGTAGAGCTGGTACCCTCCTTCCTCCCTTTGATTTGGCATTCCCGGCGCCGCCGCGGCCGCCCCGGCTGTTCCCCTCCCCTTCCCTCCCCCCTGGTTTATTTTCTACTTCTCTCTCGGTTCGTTGCCCCTGGTTTTTTTTTTGGTTTTTTTTTTTGTTGTTGGTTTGTTTTTTTAGGGTCGCTTCTCTATTTATTGCCGCTGAACTGTGCATTTCACGGCCGGAGGTGCCGCGGGCGCCCGGCGCTGTTGTATCTGTGTGAGTATTGCTCGTGACATAGCTGTTCTGAACTAATAAAGGTCAATGCGTGCAGCAGATGTAGAAAGTCTGTCCGTCCCGCTTCCATCCCATCCTCCTTTTCTTTTTCTTTGGTGCCCAGAAGAGTATAATACAGACGAGCTCCTTTCTAATGTACTTGTGCTGGAGAACACTTGAATAAATGTCCTGTTTTGTGCAAAAAAAAAAAAAAAAAAAGGAAAAAAAAAAAAAAGGGAAAAAAAAAAAGAGAGGAAAAAAAAAAAAATCGCCTCTGTGTGGTTTGTCTGTCGTGGGGTGGGTCCTGGTGGGTGGGGAGATCCAGGTGCTGAAGGGGTCCTGGTGGTAGCGGGGTCCTGGCAGCTCCTGGTGCCTTTGGGGTCTGGGGGGGTCCCAGTGCAGGTGCTGAAATCCAAAGGTGTGGTGGAGTCACGGGGTGTGGGGGGTCCCAGCAGCAGCAGTGGTGGTGGTGGGGCGCTGGGATTGGGGTGATTGTGGAGCCCTGGAGAGGCAGGAGGTGGGATTGGGGTGATGGTGGAGCCCTGGAGAGGCAGGAGGTGGGATTGGGGGATTGTGGAGCCCTGGGGAGGCAGGGGGGGGGGTTGGGGGGGGTCTGGGGGGGTCCCAGTGCAGGTGCTGAAATCCAAAGGTGGGGTGGAGTCACGGGGTGTGGGGGGTCCCAGCAGCAGCGGTGGTGGTGGTGGGGTGCTGGGATTGGGGTGATGGTGGAGCCCTGGAGAGGCAGGGGCTGGGATTGGGGAGATTGAGGGGTCTTTGAGAGCCCTGGCAGGAGGGGGGATTGGGGGATTGTGGAGCCCTGGGGGGCTCTGGCAGGTGCTGGGATTGGGGGGATGGTGGAGTCCTGGGGGGACCCTGGCAGGAGGTGGGACTGGGGGGATTGTGGAGCCCTGGGGGGCTCTGGCAGGTGCTGGGATTGGGGTGATTGAGGAGTCTTTGAGAGCCCTGGCAGGAGGTGGGATTGGGTTGATTGAGGAGCCCTGGGGGGCTCTGGCAGGTGCTGGGATTGGGGTGATGGTGGAGTCCTGGTGGGACCCTGGCAGGAGGTGGGACTGGGGTGATTGTGGAGTCTCTGGAGGGCACTGGAGAGCCCTGGCAGGTGGGATTGGGGTGATTGAGGAGCCCTGGAGAGGCAGGGGGGGGGATTGGGGGGATTGAGGAGCCCTGGAGAGGCAGGGGGGGGGATTGGGGGGATTGAGGAGCCCTGGAGAGGCAGGGGGGGGGATTGGGGGGATTGAGGAGCCCTGGAGAGGCAGGGGGTGGGATTGGGGTGATTGAGGAGTCTTTGAGAGCCCTGGCAGGTGGGATTGGGGTGATTGTGCAGCCCTGGAGAGCCCTGGGGTCCCTGTGGGTGCGTGGGGGGTCCCAGTGCAGTGGGGTCCCAGCCCTGAGGTGATTGTGTTCCCAATGAGTAATGGGCTCCCAGGGGTCCCAGTCCCAGGTGAGGGGCTCTGGGTTGACTCTTGGGCACTGAGGCCTCGGCTCGTGCAGCTCTGGGCAGGGGGTGCAGAGCCCCCAACAGTGTGGGAACCCCCATTTCTGCCCCGTGCAGCTCCTGCCTCAGTTTCCCCTCCAGCTCAGACTCCTGGGGGTCCCCCAGTGCCAGCCCCAGGGTGCTGGGGCCTGGAGCGGGGTCCAGGTGGTGGGTGGACACGGGGTGGGCAAGCAGTGACCACACAGCACACCTGTGACAGGTGTGACAGGTGTGACAGCCTGGGGACCTGCGCTCTGCCAGGGATGGTGGCACTGCCAGGCTCTGCAGGGTAACCTCACAGAGCACAAAAAGGGCTGGGGCATGGATGGATTCAGGAGCAGATGTGGGAAATGGATTTATAGAAAACGTTCAACGTTTGGCAGAAGGTTCACATAGCGCGTATTTGTATGTAAAATTTGGGATAAGAAACGTTGGCTTAGGGATGTTGTGGAATAAGACAGACGTTGTTGAGAGAGAAATTGAACTAGAAATAATCAATTTATTAATTACTAGAAATAATCATTTTAAAGGATGGACCTGTAAATAAGATCGGATACTTTAGAGAAACAGAACTATGAAAGATGCATTGTGTAGGATCCATGAGGGGCAATTTTAGATTATTAGTTTTAAGTTATTTACAGCGTGGTGTGGCTGAAGCTGATAGGCCAAGAAACGCTTGCAGTGAAATTAGGAAACAGCTGCTGCACTCTCAGGGCCACAGAAGGGAGCAGTCCATGACAGGAAGGATCCAGGCATGGAAGAGGCAAGGTCTGGTGGGCACGTCCTGGCTGAACGTGTGTGCACAGCATTTCCCCTGTGGTGGTGCGTGGGGAGCAGGGACAGGCACAAACACCAGCCCAGGCTGTGGGCTGCGGGCAGCTGTGGCCACCACCCAGCCTCCCAAACCTCCCGTGGATACCTGAACTGGGATCACAAACTGGGGCTGCTGCCCGGGGGTGAGGAAGATAAATTCAGTAATGTCCTGGGAGGAGGGATGTGGCACTGGGAGTGGGCATGGAGAGCTCCCCAGCCACGAGGGCAGCGGGCAGAAAGCCCGAGATGAGGAGGAAACTGATAAAAGCAGCTGGGGAACTGCTGGATCAGCCCCAGCAGGGGCAGATTGCCACCACTGACCCGTGGCCCAGAGACCTGAAAAGATCCAAAAGAGCAGCACTGAGCATGGGCTAATCAGCATAAGAAGCAAAGGACAGGTTTAACCAATGGAAGGTAGGCTACTAATTAATAAGAGAATTGTGTAACTCACATTTATTGTTAAGTAAAATCCGTGCTGTTGACTTCGGCCTAGGGTCTCATTTGCAGATTAATTCAGGCAGAGGCTTCTCTCACTAATTGGATCTTAGCAGAGAAACATCAGCACACGTGGAGCTGCTGGGAGAGCCCAGAGCTGCTGCAGGGCTGGAGCCAGGCTGGCAGAGCTGGGGGGGCTCACCTGGAGAGGAGAAGGATCCAGGGAGAGCTCAGAGCCCCTGGCAGGGCCTGGAGGGGCTCCAGGAGAACTGCAGAGGGACTGGGGACAAGGATGGAGGGACAGGAGCCAGGGAATGGCTCCCACTGCCAGAGGGCAGGGCTGGATGGGAGATTGGGAATTGGGAATTGTTCCCTGGCAGGGTGGGCAGGCCCTGGCACAGCTGGGGCTGCCCCTGCATCCCTGGCAGTGCCCAAGGCCAGGCTGGACACTGGGACACCCTGGGACAGTGGCAGTGTCCCTGCCAGGGCAGGGGTGGCACTGGGGGGACTCTAAGGTCCCTTCCAACCCAGATCTGTGCCTGTGGTCACCAAACCTGTCCCCGTGCCCAAGGGCAGCGCTGCTGGAGCAGGACCCAGCCCAGCTGGAGGAGGCACCAACAGGGACATGGCAGGGACAAAATGCCACCAACAGGGACAAATGCCACCTGCTGCTCTGGGGAGGGAGGAGCCCCTGGCAGGGACAGGGGCTGGGGCAGCTCTGGAAGGACCTGGGGGTCCTGGCAGAGACAGAACGAACGTTTGTGCCCACTGCCCCTGATATGGGGGCACAGCCAAGCCCCAGAGACACCAAAGGGCTCCGTGGGTGCCCGGGGCAGGAGCTGGCAGAGCAGGCAGTGCCCGAGGACAGGGGGCACAACTGGGATGGGAGAATGGGGTAAGGGGATGGGATTATGGGATGGGATGGGATGGGATGGATGGGATGGGACAGGACAGGAAGTGGACATTAGGATGGGGATGAAGCAGGAGGTCCCCCCAGCTCCATGAGCCAGCCCCATGTCCCTCTGCTGCCCCACAGGCCAAGGGCCACATCTGTCACTGCAGGTGGCACCAGTGTGCCAGGCTGCTCACAGGGGAGGAATGGGGACAGCTCCGCCCTGTCCTGTCACCACATGTCACTGAGGCCACCGGGATGGGCTGTGCCAGGAGCTCCTGGGGCCGCCAGGACAGTCCAGGGCTGGCAGCTGATGGGATATCCTGGGCTGTGCTGGGCACTGCTGGGTGCACTGGGCTGTGCTGGATGTTACTGGGCCATACTGGGCCATACTGGGCTGTGCTGGGCTGTGCTGGGCTGTACTGGGCCATACTGGGCCATACTGGGCTGTACTGGGCTGTACTGGGCTGTGCTGGGCTGTACTGGGCCATACTGGGCTGTGCTGGGCTGTGCTGGGCTGTACTGGGCCATACTGGACTGTGCTGGGCTGTACTGGGCCATACTGGGCCATACTGGGCTGTACTGGGCCATACTGGGCTGTACTGGGCTCCTCTGGCTGTTTCTGGTCGCTGCTGGGTGCTCCTGGCTGCTGCGGGGCTTTACCGGGCCCTGGTGCCGGTACCGGGGTGCCCTGGGCCACGGGGGGCCGTGGGATGGGGGACACCCTGGGGGTGTCGGGGTGGCCACGGGGGGGCCACTGGGTAGGGAGGGGCAGGGGGCGAGGGGCTGNNNCGGGCGGCTGGCAGCTTCCCGAGGGGTTCCCAGGGGTGTCCCGGGGGTGTCATGGGAATGTCCCAGGGATGTCACGGGGGGTTCCCAGGAGTGTCCCGGGGGTGTCCCGGGGGTGTCACAGGGGGTCCCGGGGGTGTCACGGGGGTGTCCCAAACATGTCCCGGGGGTGTCACGGGGGGTCCAGGAGATGTCCAGGGGGGTGTCACGGGGGGTTCCCAGGAGTATCCCGGGGGTGTCACGGGGTGTCACAGGGGGTCCCGGGGGTGTCACGGGGGTGTCACGGGGGGTCCAGCGGATGTCCAGGAGATGTCACTGGGGGTTCCCAGGAATGTCCCGGGGGTGTCACGGGGGGTTCAGGGGATGTCACAGGGGGTCCCGGGGGTGTCACGGGGGTGTCACGGGGGGTCCAGGGGATGTCACAGGGGGTCCCGGGGGTGTCACGGGGGTGTCCCGGGGTGTCCCGGGGCTCCAGGGGTCACCGGGGGTCTCGCGCGCTCTCCGTCACCACGGCAACAGCGCGGGCAGGTGGCGGGGGGCGGGGCCCCGTGCCTTGGCCCCGCCCCCTCCGCCTGTCAGTCAGGGGGCGCGCAGCCCACCCTGCTGGGGGCTCTGCCCCGCCCCCGGGGGCCAGAACGGGCGGTGATTGGTCCAGGCGCAGCGAAGCCCCGCCCCCGCGGCGCAGGTTCGGGTGAGAGGCGATCGCGGCCGGAGCGGCACCGGGAGCGGCACCGGGAGCGGGAGGTACCGGCGGGGCCGAGCGGAACCGGGCCGGGCCGGGCCGAGCTGGGCTGGGTTGAGCTGGGCTGAGCCGGGCCGGGCTGGGCTGGGCTGGGCTGGGCTGGGCCGGGCTGGGCTGAACCGTTCTTGGCTTTTCCTTTCCCGCTCCTGCGGACCTGGCTCGTTATCGCGACGGGTTGGACAATCGCGACAGGTGCGTGTGTCTCGACAGGCCGAGGGAGTCGACAGGCGGGGATGGAGGGTAGCTCCCCGCCATCCCCGCCCGGGGCGCTTCGCGGGCTATGGCCGGGCAGAAAAGCTGAGCGCGGCCGCCGCCCACCCATGGCGACACACCTGTCGCGACAGGCGATGGTGTCGCGACAGCGCGAGGGGTTCGCCTCGGGAGGGTGTGACGCCGGGCACGGCTGCTCCTCCTCGAGCGGGCCCGGCTCCCTCGTCGGCGCCCTGTCGCGATGGGCAGCGGAGCAGCAGGTGCGCGGGGCGCGGCGGAGCGGGACCCCGGGGCGGCGGGGCCGTGGGGGGCGAGGGGCGGCGGGGGTCCCGCCGGGCCCGGCCCACACCGGGGCCGGCCCGGTTCTCCGGCGGGGACCCCCGGCCCGGCCCCCCCGGCTGGCAGCGGCCCGGTGTCGGTGACCGCCGCTCCGGCCTCCTGCCGCAGTGACCTGGGGGCCAGCTCCGGGGGTGACGGGGCCCTGGGAGCGGCGATGGGACCCCCGAGTCCCCGCAGCCCGCGTCGGGACCCTCCGCAGCGCCCCGCGCCCGCTCGGGCGTGGCCGCGCAGTGCCCGTGCCGAGCCGGGCCGGGCCGGGCCGGGCCAAGGTGCCCGCCGGGACAAGGACCGCCCGCAGCATCCCGGCTCGGCAGCGGCAGCTCTGACGGAGCATCCTCCTCCCGCCGGCCGCGGCCCCCGCGGGTCCTTCCCGGGGCGGTGGCTCGGTGACACCGCAGCTCCTCCTGGCCGGTGGCGGTCGGGGGGACCCCGGCAGCGGGACAGCGACCCCAGCCCGGCCGTGACCGGAACGGAGCGGGGCAGGGCCGGGGGCCGTGCCAGGTGACCCCCCCGCCGGGGCATCCCTCGGGCGGAGCGCGGTGCCCACCCAGCCGCCGCCTCTGGCCGGGGACAAGCGGCGGTCGCGGGTCGGTGCCACCGGAGTGGCGGTCACCGAGGCCAGCCTGGCAAAGGGGAGCCCCCGCGGGCGGGGTGGGGTCGGGCAGGGTGGGTGTCGGGGTCTCGCCGGCGCAGACAAAAGCGGGGGGCGGCGAGGGCCCCCCGGCCCCGGCGCGCCGCACAATGCGGCAGCCCCGGCACAAAGGCCGGGCCCGGCGGCCGCCCCGACCCCAACAGGTGCCCCCGGCAGCCCCGCCGGGGCCGGGGTCCCTTTGTCCTGCCGGGGTCACAGCTGTCCTCGCGGCCGGGGGCCGCCGCGGCAGCCGGCGGGGCTGGGGGGGCTGCGAGCCCCCCGAGCGGCCGCGCCGCTTTGTGTGCCGGCGAGCGGAGCCACCGCCTGGCGAGCCGGCCGAGCCGGGGCTGCGGCGAGGCTGGGCGGGGGTCCCCGGGGTGCTGCCGGTGCCCCCCCGGCGCTGACGCGGCGTTTCTGCCCTGCTCGGAGCCCACGTCTGGCAGGAGCCTCTGGCCAGCGCCGGCTGAGGCTGGCTGTGCCACCGCGCTGCAACGCGGGCTGGTGCCATGCTGGCACTGTGGCCCGGCCCGGGGGACAGAGGGACAGAGCCCCTGGGGATGCTCAGTCCGAGCTGGGGGGACTGGGTGGGAGCACTGGGGGCAGTGAGGGTGAAATGGGAGCACTGGTGTGCCAGGCTGGCCGCTGTGGGCATCCAGTGCTGGGCACGGGCCTGGTGGCGGGGGGACAGCCGGGCAGTGCCAGGGGTGGCTGGTGGTGGGGAAGGTGCCTGGAGCAGGGCACGAGGGCAGCGGTGGCAGCAGCGTGGGTGGCTCCCTCGGGCGGCTGGCAGCTGCCAGCCCTTCTCTGTGCACGGTGGGCAGCCCACGCTTGTGGCCCGGCCGTGCCCGGTCCCCTTGCCAGCCCCACACCCCCTGTGCCACCCACGGCAGCCCCCCGTGCCAGGGCTGTCCCGGTGCCCGGTGAGGCGGCACCGCTGGCAGCCGCGTGCTCCGTGCTCCAGATCCGTCAGCACAGCCCGCTTTCATCTCGGGATGCGGCGTGCCGCCTCCCCCACGCCCCCTCTGCTCCGTGCCACCCCCCCCCGCACCCCCTCCTGCGTCCCCTGCCCGGCCCAGCCCTGCTCTGGGGTCCCGGGGGCTCGCAGGGCCAGCGTGCCCTGCAGTGGCACTGTGGGCACCGGCTCGTCCCCTCTGCTGTCACCCCACCGAGGGTGATCTCTGCCCCGGTGTCGTGTCCCTGATGTGGGTGTGGGGACTCAGAGGGTCCTTGGCTGGGGTGTCCCCTTGTTCCTGTCACCCCCCCTCGTCCCCCACAGTGCAGCCCTGGGCCCAAGTGTCCCCTGGCACAGCCCCCCCGTGGGGCAGCAGCTTCCCCACGTGCCCGAGGCAGAGCTGGGGGCAGCTGTGGGCACCGCACCGCTGGGTGCCAGTGCCCAGCGTGCCACAGTGGCCTGGCACGCTGCACGAGGTCACTGCCACCCCGCCCTGGTCCCCTGGGGGGGCTCCTGAGCAGTGTCACAGCTGTGCATGCCGGTGACATTCCCGAGGGGGGGCCGCCTGCCGGACCCCGGCAGCTGCTCCTGCTGCTCTGTGCCGAGGTGAGGGCACCGGGACAAGGCGCCAGCTGGCACCGGGATCACCCGGGGGCAGGAGCCGGCCCACGAAGGGCTACCGCCCCCCCCCCAGCACAGAGGTGGTCCCCGGGAACGCCCCGTGTTGTCCCCACCCCTGCAGCTGCGGTGGCCGTGGCCCGGGAATGCCCAGCTGCCGGCAGAGCCCGGCCCAGCCTCACGGCCACCAGGGCTCTGCCAGCCTAAGGAGCCATTCGCTGCCCAGCAGGCGCTGGAGAGCCCTGGCACAGCTCAGGACGGTCCCTTCAGAGCCCTGTCCCGGTCCCAGCACCCTCCTGAGGCCACCGTGGGGCCGTGGCAGCACCAGACACCCCCTGGCACGAGGTCGCTGCCCCAGCAGCAGCAGCTTTGGCCATGGCTCAGTTCTGGCCCCAGCGGGCCTGTCCCAGGGGCTGGGTGGGCACCAGGGGCCATTCCCACAGCGCTGCCCGGTGCCAGCATCGTGTCAGCGGTGCCAGAGTGCCCCACGCTGCCCGTGTGGGTCCCTGGTGGTCCCTGCAGTGGGCACAGAGAGGCAGGGGTCTCTTTGTGGGTCACTGCAGTGAGGTCTCTGCTCTGGGGGCTGTGGTGGGGTCCCAGCCCACCTCGTGCCCCCCGGGTGGGCACAGCTGGCACGTGCTGTCCCTGCTCTGACGGGTCGATGGCGTTTGACCTTCACCAAAGGATTTATTGATGGTGTCTGGGGATGCCCCTCGCTGCGGGGGCTCAGGCAGTGCGGGGGTCTCTGGCAGAGCTGGCACCTCACGGGGCAGTGGGCAGAGCCCCCAGTGAGCGATGCCAGCCCTGGTGCTGTCCGTGCCAGTCCTGGTTGCTCCCAGGGACAATGTGTGCAGCCTGCCCTGGGCGCGGGGACACCCAGCCGTGTCCCCGTGGCACGTGTGGCGCTGGCAGCGCAGGGTGGCAGGGCTGGGCTCTGGCAGCCCTGCTGAGGTTCTGCAGGGGGTGGCACCGTCAGGGTGCAGCCCAGAGTCCCCGGAGCGGGGCTCTGGGCAGGGAGGCAGCCCCAGCGCCGTGCCAGCCCCTCCTCTGCAGGGATTTCCCGGGATAATCCACGGCCGTGGCCCGTGCGGGATGCGCAGCTGCGGGGCTCAGCCCTGCCCGCACCGGGCACTCCCACCCTAGGGTGGGCAGCACGGAGACCCCCGTGGGGGACACCCGGTGGTGACCCCGCTGCCGCTCTGCCCCGCAGCACCATGATGGCCAACGCGGCCACCATGCGGATCCTCATCAAGGGGGGCAAGGTGGTCAACGACGACTGCACCCTCGAGGCCGACGTCTACATCGAGAACGGCATCATCCAGCAAGTGGGGCGCGAGCTGATGATCCCCGGCGGCGCCAAGGTCATCGACGCCACCGGCAAGCTCGTCATCCCGGGCGGCATCGACACCAGCACCCACTTCCACCAGACCTTCATGAACGCCACCTGCGTCGATGACTTCTACCACGGCACCAAGGTACCCCGAGGCCTGCCCCGCCCCGGGGGCTCCCCGCGGGCACGGGCTGCTGCAGGCAGCTCTCGGCCCCACGGGCACCCCAGCAGCACCAGCTCCGCGGGAGCACGGTGCCATTGTGGCACCGCCTGTCGCCGTGTCCCCATCTGTCACGTCCCCTCGCTGTGACAGCCCTCCTCCCGCTCCGGGGCCGTGGCACCCTGTGCCAGCTCGGGCACCTCCCGGTGGCACTGTGTACTGAGTGTTGCTGCCTGGGAGTGTCAAGGGGCCGGGACTGTCCCCGCAGCTTGTCCCGCTGTCCCCAGCACCCACACAGAGCAGCCATTGTGCCAGGCCAGCGCTGGCCGTGCCTGTCCCCAGGCTGTCCCCAGGGTGTCCCTGGGCAGGGGGCTGTGCCATGCCCACGGGCGCCACATGCCAGGCCCGCTCCCTGTCACTGTCACCCGCCTCGTGGCACCGCGCCGGCACCTCCCGGGAGGGCCGATGGGCAAAGGAGCTTTGGGGATTAGCGGGGCGGGGTGAGCCGGGGACAGCGGCGCTGCCACAGCGCCTGCACTGCCGCCCACGCTGCCGGGGAGGGGGGCTCCCCGCCGCCCCAGCCCACTCGGGGCTCCGTGCCGGGGGGCCGCGGGGTCCCTCGGCACCCCAAATCCAGTGTTTGGGCTGGGGGGGCAGTGGGGGCCCCGGCGGTGGCAGGATGGGGCTCTCCAGATGTGCCGTGCACCCAGATGTGCTGTGCAGAGGGGCAGCCATCGGTGGGGCGGGGGGGGGATGCAGGGGTCCCTGCCCGCACCCAGGACCCCCGCATGGCTGTGGGCAATGCCCGGGCGTGGCCGCCCCGGCCCGGGAGCAGCCGGGAGCTCACCTGGCGCAGGGCAGGGCAGGGGCGGTGCCGGGGGATGGACCCTGACCCCCGCACCGCGGTCCCTGTGCCCCCCCCGCCCAGGCAGCGCTGGTGGGGGGCACGACGATGATCATCGGGCACGTCCTGCCCGACAAGGAGACGTCGCTGCTGGACGCCTACGAGAAGTGCCGCAGCCTGGCCGACCCCAAGGTGTGCTGCGACTACGCCTTGCACATGGGCATCACCTGGTGGGCGCCCAAGGTGAGTCTGGCGCGGCCCCGGGAGCAGCTGCCGGGGCTAATTCCCGGCCCCGCTGATCCCATTAGCCGCCCGGGGGGTGGGCTGAGCCCCCAGGATGCCTTTTGAGCTGCCCTGAGCCGGGCTCAGCGGGGCAGGGGCTCAGGGGTGCCCCGGGCCAAGGGGTCCCTGTGGGGCCGAGCCCCTCGCTGGGCAGGGAAGGCGCTGCTGCTACTCCGTGGAGGGGAGCACGGTGCCCAGGGCTGGTGGTCCCAGCCTGGGGGGCCCCGACCCGCAGCACGGCCCCCACAGGGGTGGCAAGCAGGGCTGGTGAGCAGACCCCATCCCACGGCACGCTCAGCCCCTGCAATCCCCTCAAAGCCGCTGCAGTGGGATCAGACCTGGCTCCCGGCTGTGCTGCAGGGAGACCCCACCCTGACCCCCTTCCAGCAGAGCAGGGGCACCCCCCGGGGGGCAGGAAAATCCCTTCTGCTGCCCCCCAGCATCTGTCGCTCGCCGTGTCACCCACAAATCCACGTCCCGTGTCCCCAGGGGGTGGCCGGGGCCCCTCGGGGGGTGAGGCCCCACCCTGACCCCGCTCCCGGTGCAGGTGAAGGCCGAGATGGAGACGCTGGTGCGGGAGAAGGGGGTGAACTCCTTCCAGATGTTCATGACCTACAAGGACCTGTACATGCTGCGGGACAGCGAGCTCTACCAGGTCCTGCGCGCCTGCCGCGACATCGGCGCCATCGCCCGCGTCCACGCCGAGAACGGAGAGCTGGTGGCCGAGGTGAGGGCAGGGCACGGGGGCGCGGGGCACCCGGCTGGGGTCAGGACCTCCACCCTGACCCCCCCAAATTCCCCAGGGAGCCAAGGAAGCTCTGGACCTGGGCATTACGGGCCCAGAGGGCATCGAGATCAGCCGGCCTGAAGAGGTAGGTGACGGCCGGTGGCACCGCGTCGCCGCGGCAGCGGGCCTGGGGTGTGGCTGGCGCGGTCCGGGACGTCCAAGGAGCTGCCACCACCCGTCCTTGTGTCACCCACCCGCCCGCTGGTGCCACCGCTGTGTGTCACGTGTGTCACACCGGCTCTCTCCGCAGCTGGAAGCTGAGGCCACGCACCGCGTCATCACCATCGCCAACCGGGTGAGTGTGCTGAGCGCACGGCTGGGGGTGGCCGTGCCGGTCCCGCGGGGGTCCCCGCGGCTCTCTCGGGGGGCAGGAGCCCCCCAGGGGGCTGGGTGCCATGCAGACAGCGCCACTGCCCCCCTCTCTGCAGACCCACTGCCCCGTGTACCTGGTGAACGTGTCCAGCATGTCCGCAGGGGACGTCATTGCTGCTGCCAAGATGCAGGGTAGGGGACACGGGGGGACCTCCCTCCCCACCAGGGACACACAGCGACATGGCTCACACGGGGGCTGGCAGGGAGCTGGGCACGGATCGTGGAGCTGCGGGCATGCAGAGAGACACACGGACAGACACACGGACAGATATGGGCACGGGCAGACACACAGACATGGGCACGGACAGATACAGGGGCATGGACAGACACACAGACAGGGACAGACACACAGACAGATATGGGCATAGGCAGACACACAGACATGGGCAGGGACAGACACACGGGCATGGACAGACACACAGGCATGGACAGACACACGGGCACGGACAGACACATGGGCAGATATGGGCACAGGCAGACACATGGGCATGGGCATGGACAGACACACAGACATGAGCACGGACAGATACAGGGGCATGGGCAGACACACGGACACAGGCACAGACAGACACATGGGCACAGGAACTCGGGTGTACCTCTGGGGCTGTGCCCTAGCACAGGTGAGCACACCTGGGCACCAGCTCTGCTCGTGCACAGGGGACACACAGGGGACACACACGGGTCACCCCCCTGAGCACACACAGGACACACCTGAGCACACCCAGGACACACACAGGGCACACACTGGTCACACACCGGAGCACACACAGGACACACCTGAGCACACCCAGGACACACACAGGGCACACACTGGTCACACACCGGAGCACACACAGGACACACCTGAGCACACCCAGGACACACACAGGGCACACACTGGTCACACACCGGAGCACACACAGGACACACCTGAGCACACCCAGGACACACACAGGGCACACACTGGTCACACACCGGAGCACACACAGGACACACCTGAGCACACCCAGGACACACACAGGGCACACACTGGTCACACACCGGAGCACACACAGGACACACCTGAGCACACCCAGGACACACACAGGGCACACACTGGTCACACACCGGAGCACACACAGGACACACCTGAGCACACCCAGGACACACACAGGGCACACACTGGTCACACACCGGAGCACACACAGGACACACCTGAGCACACCCAGGACACACACAGGTCACACACAGCACACACCTGGGCACACAGGGGACACGGGCTCGTGCCCGCTGGGCACACGGGTGCTCAGACACGGGCAGCGCACCCACGCGTGCCTCCCCCGCAGGGAAGGTGGTGTACGCGGAGACCACCACGGCGCACGCCACGCTCACCGGGCTGCACTACTACCACCAGGACTGGTTCCACGCCGCCGCCTACGTCACCGTGCCGCCGCTGCGCCTGGACACCAACACCTCTGCCTACCTCATGAGCCTGCTCGCCAAGTGAGAGCTGCCCCGGGCACCCCTGCCTGCCCCGGGCACCCCTGCCTGCCCCAGGCACCCCTCCCTGCCCCAGGCACCCCTCCCTGCCCCAGGCACCCATCCCTGCCCCGGGCACCCCTGCCTGCCCCGGGCACCCCTGCCTGCCCTGGGCACCCCTGCCTGCCCCAGGCACCCCTGCCTGCCCCGGGCACCCCATCCCTACCTCGGGCACCCATCCCTGCCCCGGGCACCCCTCCCTGTCCCAGGCACCCATCCCTGCCCCGGGTACCCCTCCCTGCGCCAGGCACCCTTGCCTGCCCTGGGCACCCCATCCCTGCCCCATGGTGTGGGTACCCCATTCCCTGGATGCCCCATTCCCTGGGCACTGAGCTCCCCAGACACCCCATGGCAGGGGTACCCCATTCCCTGAGTCCTGGGCTCCCTGGGCACCCCGAGCAGCCCTGGCAGCGCCATCCCCTCCCCGCTCTGCCCCCACAGTGACACGTTGAACATCGTGGCCTCGGACCACCGGCCCTTCAGCACCAAGCAGAAGGCCATGGGCAAGGAGGACTTCACCAAGATCCCGCACGGTGTCAGCGGGGTGCAGGACCGCATGAACATCATCTGGGAGCGCGGCGTGGTATGGCACCGCCGGGCACGGGGCTGGAGCTGGAGCGGGACACCCCACGGGGTGTTTGTTCACCCCCTGGCACGAGGGCAAGGAGCTCCAGAGCTGGCCTGGCAGGAATCCTGACCCCGCAGCTCATCTGGGATTTTTGGGGGACTGGGGGGTGACAGGGAGCGCCACAGCCCACCCATCCTGACCCCCTTCTGGCGGCAGGTGGGGGGCAAGATGGATGAGAACCGCTTCGTGGCCGTGACCAGCTCCAACGCCGCCAAGATCCACAACCTGTACCCCCGCAAGGGCCGGATCATCCCCGGGGCCGACGCCGACGTCGTGGTCTGGGACCCCGAGGCCACCAAGTAGGTGCAGCCTTGCTGGGGCCGGGGCCGGCTCCCTGTGCCCCCCGCGGCCGCTGACGGCCCCGTCCCCCTGCCCAGGACCATCTCTGCCAGCACCCAGGTGCAGGGCGGGGACATCAACCTGTACGAGAACATGCGGTGCCACGGGGTGCCCCTGGTGACCATCAGCCGCGGGCGCGTGGTCTACGAGAACGGCGTCTTCATGTGCGCCGAGGGCACCGGCAAGTTCTGCCCGCTGCGCTCCTTCCCCGACGTCGCCTACAAGAAACTGGTGCAGCGGGAGAAGGTACGGGGCAGCCACGGCCGTGCCAGAGCCGTGCCGTGCCGTGCCAGAGCCGTGCCGTGCCATGCCGTGCCAGAGCCGTGCCGTGCCAGAGCCGTGCCGTGCCAGAGCCGTGCCGTGCCAGAGCCGTGCCGTGCCGTGCCGTGCCAGAGCCGTGCCGTGCCGTGCAGAGCCGTGCCGTGCCGTGCCAGAGCTGTGCCGTGGCTGTGCCCGTGCCAGACTGGTGCCACGACTGTGCCATGGCTGTGCCAGAGCTGTGCCAGGGCTGTGTGTGGCCATGCCACAGCAGTGCCAGAGCAGTGCCATGGCTGAGCCAGAGCCATGCCATGGCTGTGCCCGTGCCAGACTGGTGCCACGGCTGTGTGTGGCCATGCCAGAGCAGTGCCATGGCTGAGCCAGAGCAGTGCCATTGCTGTGCCAGACTGGTGCCATGGCAGTGCCATGGCTGTGCCAGAGCTGTGCCATGGCTGTGTGTGGCCATGCCAGAGCAGTGCCATGGCTGAGCCAGACTGGTGCCAGAGCAGTGCCATGGCTGAGCCAGAGCTGTGCCAGAGCTGTGCCACGGCTGTGCCAGAACTGTGCCATGGCGGTGTGTGGCCATGCCAGAGCAGTGCCAGAGCAGTGCCATGACTGAGCCAGAGCCATGTCATGGCTGTGCCCATGCCAGACTGGTGCCATGGCTGTGCCTTGGCTGTGCCAGACTGGTGCCAGAGCAGTGCCATGGCTGAGCCAGAGCCATGCCATGGCTGTGCCCATGCCAGACTGGTGCCAGGGCTGTGCCATGGCTGTGCCATAGCGGTGCCAGAGCAGTGCCATGGCTGTACCATAGCGGTGCCGTCACCGTGCCCTGGCAGTGCAAGAGGACAGTTGTCCCAGCACGTAGCTGTGCATGGCTGTGCCAGACTAGTGCCATGGCCATGCCAGAGTGGTGCCATTGCTGTGCCAGACTGGTGTCATGGCAGTGCCATGGCTGTGCCAGAGTGGTGCCATGGCTGTGTGTGGCCATGCCAGAGCAGTGCCATTGCTGTGCCAGACTGGTGCCATGGCTGTGCCTTGGCTGTGCCAGACTGGTGCCAGAGCAGTGCCATGGCTGAGCCAGAGCCATGCCATGGCTGTGCCCATGCCAGACTGGTGCCATGGCAGTGCCCGCCTGGTGCCAGGGCTGTGCCATGGCTGTGCCATAGCGGTGCCAGAGCAGTGCCATGGCTGTACCATAGCGGTGCCGTCACCGTGCCCTGGCAGTGCAAGAGGACAGTTGTCCCAGCACGTGTGTGGCCCATGGCAGTTCCAGGGCACGTGCTGCCATCATGGCTCGCCATGCCCTGCCCTGCCCGGGCTCTGCCCTGTGCTGGCTCTCCCGAGGCCTCCCGGTGGCACCGGGACAGGGACACGTGTGGCTGGCACCCAGCAGCTCTGGCAGTCCCTGTCACTGGGGACACCCTGTGCCCACGCTGCGGGGGACACGCTGGGGACAGCGTGCTGCTGATGCTGCGAGGGAAGGGGGCAGCTCACAGGAAGATCTTGGGGCGCTTGTCGGGAGCTCTGGGTGGCTGGGGGGGGCACGGGCATCGCATGGGCTTGGCATGGCTTGGCATGGCTTGGCACGGCTTGGCTCCGCCGGGGGGCACGGGGCGAGGGGCTGCTCTGCCAGGGCCACCCACCTCCCCCATCCCCTGCTCCTGCTTTGCACCGGGAGCCCCCCGGCCCGCCCAGCACCCCTCCGAGCGCCCCCTGAAGCTGCGGGGTGTGGATCGCACCCCGTACCTGGGGGACGTGGCCGTGGTTGTGCATGCCGGGAAAAAAGAGACGGGGACGCCCCTGGCCGATACGCCCACCCGGCCGGCCACGCGACACGGGGGCATGAGGGACCTGCACGAGTCCAGCTTCAGCCTGTCCGGTAAGAGCGGGGCCGGCCCCGGGGCTCGCCCGCAGCCCCCGCTGGTGCCATCTGCCCCCAGCCGGGCGCTTGTCCCCCCCCCGGGTGTCCCCGTTGTCCCCGCCACCTCCCGGGGTGCTGCAGTGCCGCCGCAGGGTGTCCCGCCATCCCTCCCCTAGGGCTGTCCTGTCACCCCCTCCTCCGGTGTCCCCTGCACGCCCCCCACCCCAGGTTCAGCCCTCCCTGTCCCGGGCAGGGCCGTGGCAGAGCAGGGGGTGCCCCCAGCCCCGCGCCCCTCCGGGCACCGTCCGTCGTGTGGCTGCGCTGGGGGGGCTCCTGGGGCGGGCCGGGGGCTGTGCCGGCCGGGGGCACCGGGGGGCTGTGCGGGCAGGACACCGGGGCCGCTGCTGCAGCCGGGAGCCCCCTCCCCGCGCGGGGCTGGGGGCTCCGCTGGCACGGCGTGGGCACGGGGGGGCATGAGCGTCAGCGCGGGCACAAGGCAGGGCTGCGGGAGGCGCTGGTCAGCGCTGGTCAGTGCTGGTCAGTATTGGTCAGTTCTGGTCAGTTCTGGGCAGTTCTGGTCAGTTCTGGGCAGTGCTGGTCAGTTGTGGGCAGTGCTGGTCAGTGCTGGTCACTGCCGGTCAGTTCTGGTCAGTGCCGGTCAGCATTGGTCAGTGCTGGTCAGTTCTGGTCAGTGCTGGTCAGTTCTGGGCAGCGCTGGTCAGTATTGGTCACTGCCGGTCAGTTCTGGTCAGTGCTGGTCACTGCCAGTCAGTTCTGGTCAGTGCCGGTCAGTTCTGGGCAGTGCTGGTCAGTTCTGGGCAGTGCTGGTCAGTATTGGTCAGTTCTGGGCAGTGCTGGTCAGTATTGGTCAGTTCTGGGCAGTGCTGGTCAGTATTGGTCAGTTCTGGGCAGTGCTGGTCAGTGCTGGTCACTGCCGGTCAGTTCTGGTTAGTATTGGTCAGTGCTGGTCAGTATTGGTCAGTGCCGGTCAGTGCTGGTCAGTGCCGGTCAGTTCTGGTCAGTGCTGGGCAGTTCTGGGCAGTGCTGGTCAGTATTGGTCAGTGCCGGTCAGTGCTGGTCAGTGCTGTGCTCAGGTGAACCCCATTGCTCAGTTCTGGTCAGTTCTGGTCAGTTCTGGTCAGTGCTGGTCAGCTCTGGTCAGTATTGGTCAGTGCTGGTCAGTGCTGGTCAGTATTGGTCAGTGCTGGTCAGTTCTGGTCAGTTCTGGTCAGTGCTGGTCAGTTCTGGTCAGTGCTGATCAGTGCTGGTCAGTATTGGTCAGTGCCAGTCAGTATTGGTCAGTGCTGGTCAGTGCTGGTCAATGCCAGTCAGTATTGGTCAGTGCTGGTCAGCACTGGTCAGTATTGGTCAGTTCTGGGCAGTGCTGGTCAGTATTGGTCAGTGCCGGTCATTATTGGTCAGTGCTGGTCAGTATTGGTCAGTGCCGGTCATTATTGCTCAGTTCTGGTCAGTGCTGGTCAGTGCTGGTCAGTTCTGGTCAGCGCTGGTCAGGATTGGTCAGTGCTGGTCAGTTCTGGTCAGTGCCACATGCAGCACAGCTGGGGTGGGACAGGGGGGTCACGGAGCCCCCCCAGTGCAGCCCCAGCGGTGCCCGGGGGTCACGGAGCCCCCCAGTGCAGCCCCAGCGGTGCCCGGGGGTCACGGAGCCCCCCAGTGCCGGGGTGCCCGGGGGTCACGGAGCCCCCCAGTGCCAGCAGTGCCGGGGTGCCCGGGGGTCACGGGGCTGTGCGCGGCCCCCCGGCCCTGCTGACCACCCGTGTGTCCGGCAGGTTCTCAGATCGATGACCACGTTCCAAAACGAGCCTCGGCCCGGATTCTCGCTCCCCCCGGGGGCCGGTCGAGCGGCATCTGGTAGAGCCGGGGACGCGTCCCCCAACTGAGCACCGGGCGCCAGCGCCCCGGCCCCGGCCCGGCGGGGCTCCCCGGCCGCGGGGCTCCCTGGCCCGGCCCCGTGCTGCCGGCGGGGCCGCGGGGCCGGCCCCGGGGCTCGCCCGCAGCCCCCGCTGGTGCCATCTGCCCCCAGCCGGGCGCTTGTCCCCCCCCCGGGTGTCCCCGTTGTCCCCGCCACCTCCCGGGGTGCTGCAGTGCCGCCGCAGGGTGTCCCGCCATCCCTCCCCTAGGGCTGTCCTGTCACCCCCTCCTCCGGTGTCCCCTGCACGCCCCCCACCCCAGGTTCAGCCCTCCCTGTCCCGGGCAGGGCCGTGGCAGAGCAGGGGGTGCCCCCAGCCCCGCGCCCCTCCGGGCACCGTCCGTCGTGTGGCTGCGCTGGGGGGGCTCCTGGGGCGGGCCGGGGGCTGTGCCGGCCGGGGGCACCGGGGGGCTGTGCGGGCAGGACACCGGGGCCGCTGCTGCAGCCGGGAGCCCCCTCCCCGCGCGGGGCTGGGGGCTCCGCTGGCACGGCGTGGGCACGGGGGGGCATGAGCGTCAGCGCGGGCACAAGGCAGGGCTGCGGGAGGCGCTGGTCAGCGCTGGTCAGTGCTGGTCAGTATTGGTCAGTTCTGGTCAGTTCTGGGCAGTTCTGGTCAGTTCTGGGCAGTGCTGGTCAGTTCTGGGCAGTGCTGGTCAGTGCTGGTCACTGCCGGTCAGTTCTGGTCAGTGCCGGTCAGTATTGGTCAGTGCTGGTCAGTGCTGGTCAGCTCTGGTCAGCGCTGGTCAGTATTGGTCAGTTCTGGGCAGTGCTGGTCAGTGCTGGTCACTGCCGGTCAGTTCTGGTTAGTATTGGTCAGTGCTGGTCAGTATTGGTCAGTGCCGGTCAGTGCTGGTCAGTGCCGGTCAGTTCTGGTCAGTGCTGGGCAGTTCTGGGCAGTGCTGGTCAGTATTGGTCACTGCTGGTCAGTATTGGTCAGTTCTGGGCAGTGCTGGTCAGTATTGGTCAGTTTTGGTCAGTGCCAGTCAGTATTGGTCAGTGCTGGTCAGTGCTGGTCAATGCCAGTCAGTATTGGTCAGTGCTGGTCAGCACTGGTCAGTATTGGTCAGTTCTGGGCAGTGCTGGTCAGTATTGGTCAGTGCCGGTCATTATTGGTCAGTGCTGGTCAGTATTGGTCAGTGCCGGTCATTATTGCTCAGTTCTGGTCAGTGCTGGTCAGTGCTGGTCAGTTCTGGTCAGCGCTGGTCAGGATTGGTCAGTGCTGGTCAGTTCTGGTCAGTGCCACATGCAGCACAGCTGGGGTGGGACAGGGGGGTCACGGAGCCCCCCCAGTGCAGCCCCAGCGGTGCCCGGGGGTCACGGAGCCCCCCAGTGCAGCCCCAGCGGTGCCCGGGGGTCACGGAGCCCCCCAGTGCCAGCAGTGCCGGGGTGCCCGGGGGTCACGGAGCCCCCCAGTGCCGGGGTGCCCGGGGGTCACGGGGCTGTGCGCAGCCCCCCGGCCCTGCTGACCGCCCGTGTGTCCGGCAGGTTCTCAGATCGATGACCACGTTCCAAAACGAGCCTCGGCCCGGATTCTCGCTCCCCCCGGGGGCCGGTCGAGCGGCATCTGGTAGAGCCGGGGACGCGTCCCCCAACTGAGCACCGGGCGCCAGCGCCCCGGCCCCGGCCCGGCGGGGCTCCCCGGCCGCGGGGCTCCCTGGCCCGGCCCCGTGCTGCCGGCGGGGCCG